AAGAAGGATTGGCGGTCATATTTGGAGTCAGGAAGTTCCACCAATACTGTTATGGACAAAAATTTGTGATCATAATGGACCACAAACCCCGACTTGGTCTGCTTAAATAGGACAAAGCGGTGCCACCCATAGCTTGGGATGCATTTAGCGGTGGGCTCTAATGCTAAGTGCGTACAATTACAAGTTAGAACACCGTCAGGGACACCAATATCTGACACAAGACTCCACTAAGCAAGAGAGACAGTTTGATACAGGGGACAAAGTTTGCTGTAAGAATCAGAGAAATGACCCTGCATGGGTAAGAAGCAAGGTTAATGTGAGATCAGACCCAGTGAAGTATAAAGTTCAGGTAGCTGCGAAGGTCCTGAACAAGCACGTGGACCATACGAATGCTGCACAAGTGACCCAGCAGCAAAATGTGCCATGCCCCTGGGAATAATTGGAAAGGCAGCTGGAACCCTTGGGATCAGTATCTCTGTCAAACATTGGTGAGTCCTCTGGATCAGAGATGGAAATAAAGGATGTAGCCCCCCCTCGATGCCTTTGCCACTGAAGAAGAGTGAAATTCTACCGAGATGCACCCAGCAGAAGAAGCAAGCTCCTGTGCATTATACACTGCCTGTATTGGACACCGAGTTGTCTGAACCTTACTCAGTGCTAAAACACCCCAGGACGCTCTCCAAGAAAAAGAACCGGGCACTGCCCTCGGGCACAGGGGGGCGAGATGTAGTCATTCTAACGAGGTCAGCCCGGTGGACCTCATAGCAGACAAGTTCCCTGATTGGAATAAATTAATAGCTCCAATCAGGGAGCCCTGGCTGACAGATAAAAAGAGGCATGTCAAAGCTTCTGGCACTCTGAGAGCTGACTCTGAAAAGGCAGTGCTAAAGTCAAGGAGTGTTCATAAAGAATTACTTGATGACGGGATACTGGCGTCTGTGGATACATTTCATTTGCTGTCCATTCTTAACTAAGCTTGAGAAAGTAGCGACGACTTGCTTTTTTGAACTGCTTGTCCATGTGAAATGTTCCCCACAGTATGGTTATCGAAGTGAACTCCTGGACTTGCAGGGTGATATAGTCCCAAATCAAAATGGTTGAGAGTCTGAGGGGAACTTGCAGGCTGTAGAGTTCCTAAGCATCTACTGTTCTTACTCTTTAAGGTGGCAGAGATTTGAATTGTGCAGGCATTCTGCAGCCTTTATTCAATTTGATTGCATTCACTTCCGTTGCTTGCAAATAAAAGCTCCTGTTTGGAATTGTCCAATTGCTTGCCTATTCGAGATGTTGCCCAAGTGGAAAACGCAGAAGATGTGAAGGACAATTTATTTTTTTTTACATAGAGGGTGGTTTGCATGCAATGAACTTCCTGAGGAAGTGGTGGATGTGGGTACAATTACGATGTTTAAAAACCATTAAGATAAGCACATTAATGCGAAAGGTTTGGAGGGATACGGGCCAGAAGCAGGCAGGTGGGTCTAGTTTAGTTTGGGATTATGTTCGGCATGGACTGGTTGGACCAAAGGGATCTGTTTCCGTGTCGTATGACTCTATGTGGGTCTCGAGTCTAGTTGACAGAGTGACAGTGTCTTAGACACGGTGGTTAGATGGGATTTGGCTAAGACAGGTAAACTGAGTGGTCTGGTGGTTAAATAGCGATAAGGGTGAGAGACTGGGGTTGTACGTGTGAGGAAGTGTCAGCGTACCATGACAGTGTGGCTTTGTGGCTGCTGTGCCATTACGTTGCAGTGATGGGCAACAGCACATTGCTGAGTGGCATTTAAAGATGGCATGGCTCTTTCAGCAGTTATCTGGTGAGTGGCGAGTTCTTCTAGGAATGGCAGTTGACAGAATGGGGCTGGAATCAGGTGGGAGGGGCACTATAGGGGCAGGGCAGGTAATTAATGAAACAAGTTTGGTAAGATGTAGTGAGAAAGGTCATTAGGCCTCGCAAAGGGAAATCCTTTATGAAACTCAAAACTGACAGCCAAATATAAAGTAAGATTCAGTACATTGTGTATTCCCTTGCCTTGACTCCCCACTCAATTACATTATTTTGAATTAAATTCCGTTTGCTACATTTCTGCTCAACAGTCCTGACCAGCCCATTGATAACTTTGTGGATCCTCCAGCTTTTCTCCTCAGAAAGAACACGAGCAATATGTGTACCTACAGACTTCTTAAACAAACACCTACAGTTAGGGCTAAATCATTGATGCATGCTATGAAAAGCAATGGATGCAGTATTGAGCCCAGTTGAACCCAATCATCCAGTCACATCCATCTTATCTTTCTTCAACTGACTAAATTTTGGATCCTGCTTTTCTGACCTGTCCATCATGCAGTACTTTTAGAAAAACATTGCTAAAATTTATTTGCACTACCTCAAAAGCTTTCCATAATAATTGTTAGATGCTAATAAAATATAACTAAATTAACCACAAGAAACTAAAAACCAAAAGAACTGCAGATGCTGTAAATCAGAAACAAAAACAGTAATTGCTGGAAAAGCTCAGTGGGTCTGGCAGCATCTGTGAAGAGAAATCAGAGTTAACGTTTCACATCCAGTGACCCAAGGGGTTAACTCTGATTTCTCTTCACAGATGCTGCCAGACCAACTGAGCTTTTCCAGCAATTTTTGTAACCACAAAAGTCACTACCTTTTTTAAAAAAAAAAAATCCTTGATATTCAAGGTGGAGGTGAACATAAAGTCCCACCATTAACTCCTCCTTTGGCTTCTGATCTGGGCCTCAATACCATCTACCCTCTTCTCTGCCTCTGTCAAAAGGTACAAAACAAACCTATCTTCCAACACCTTTCAGTTAAGAAGAATAGGCATACCAAACTCAAAATGTTAACTCTGTTTCTCTCTCTACAGATGCTGTCAGAACGGCTGTGTTTCTCCAGCATTGTCTGTGTTTGTTTCCAATTTGCAGCATCCACACTGTTTTGCCTTTATTTACAGAATTAGAGAGAGTTTGGCTAACTAACAATTAGAGTCATACAGGTACACAGCATGGCAACAGACCCTTCGGTCCAACTAGTCCATGTTGACCATGTTCCCAAACTAACTTTGTCCCACTTGCCTGTGTTTGGCCCATGTCCCTCCAAACCTTTCCTATTCATGTGCTAATGCAAATGTCCCTTAAATGTTGTAACTATATCTGCATCCACCACTTGCTCAGCCAGTTCATTCCACACACGAACCACTCTCTGTGTAAAGAAAGATTGCCTCTCAAGTCCTTTTTGAAACTTTCTCCTCTCACCTTAAAAATATGCTCCCCAAGTTTTGAACTCCCCCAACCCTAGAGAAAAGACGTTGGCTATTCACCTTATCTACGCCCATCATGATTTTCTAAACCTCTGTGAGGTCACCCCTCAATCTCCTACCCTCCAGTGAACTGGAGAGAAAGACAGTGTACCAAATGATAAAGCCTTCAGGGCAGAACTGACACGAGGAACTCTATGAAAATAAACTGAGGAATGCCAAGGAACTTAAAGACAGCAAATAGGGATCATGAGGGAATCATGGTTGAAAAAAACTAAAGCAGAAAGTTAATGCATTCTTCAACCTTATCAGGATGAAAGAACGCGTGCAATGAAAAGTTTACTCACCGAAAGAATTGAGGGACAAGTTATTTGAAGAAGTATTTATCTGACATTTTTCAACCAATTTCATGACGAAATTGAGAGAACATATCCAGAATGAGGGGTACAACTGAATATAGACTAAAAATGTATATGATTTACACAATAGGGTACATTAGGGTGATTGTTGCATCTGAAGGTAGAAGATTCTGGTAACTTCTGCCTGCTGAAGGCATGTGTTCAAATAATTGTGAATCCTTTTTATTGTCTCCACAGTACACAGACCCAGGTAAAGTACACAGTCTTAAGAAACAGAAAATGTGAAATCCATATTCAAAGGAATGAGGCATCAAATTATTGATCTGCGACTTTTCTACAATACAGAAAGTATTTGTTAGTATTATACATGATACATAGACCCATCGTGGGGCATTAGTTTCCTAAAAGAGCATGATTTTGAGAGTGGAACATAATATCAATCTAATTTATTAGCTTTCATTGATGCAACGACAGACTCATTTCATAGAGGGAAGATGGTGGATGTTATGTGTCTACATTTCATACATTCAGATCTAACATGTTCTTTGGGGAACTGACGTAAGAAAAGCTATCTAGTAACATTTCTAGCAGATTGTTTGTGTGCTGTTGTTCTTGTTTTTCTGTTTGATTTCTGTTTATGTCCTGAGGAGACTTTGTGCCATGTCGACAAACATTGCCTCGTTTTGGTTTTGTGATATTACAAGAATGGATTTCCCGAAGGCAATTTCCCTTAATTTACTTGTTGGTGAGATAAACAGGGAAAGTAAGAGGGACAAAGCTGCAGTATATGCTAATAGTATCTTTTTAATTTTTTTTTGTTCTTTGGAACATGCGCATCTTTGGCAAGACCAGCATTTGTTGTTCTTCACAGGCTATTTCAGAGGAAAATTAAGAGTCAACTATATTCCTGTGGATCTGGAGTCAGAGGCCCCAACTGGGACACAATTTCCTTCCCTATCAATGATAGTTTCAAGGTATGGTCACCATTACTGAGACCAGCTTTCAATTCCACATTTTATTAATTGAATTTAAATTCAAATCAGCTGGTATGGTATGGTATGGATTGACCCCATGTAATCCTAGTGACAGTACCAATGTCTTCGCTTAAAATGAGACTCCCTTCCTCTGCCAAACCTCACTCTGTTTTTCTGAAGTGTTACTTTGGACATGCCTTATTTAATTAAATAAATTACTTTAAACCACCACCAGCCATTGAACGCTTCAGCATCACAAGAGATACATTCGTAAAAAGCTACCAAGTTTAGAAGTTCTAAAAAGGCTTGATGACATCAGGGTTAAATTACGTGCAAATAGGTTGCACAGAAAAATGATTTCAGTCATACCTGTGTCAGCTGTTGAACATGTTCAGCTTCAGTATCTTTATTGTCTTGTTGTTGCTGCAGTTGGCCTTCTGCTAACTTTTGCCTGAGCTCTGACAGATGGGTCTTTAGGTCATCCATCTCTGCCTGAGCATTGTGTCCAGATATGGATAATGCCTTATTCTCATCTAGATGTGAAAATGATAGATAATATCATAATTGGATGATCAGATAAAAGAGAGAAAAAGAGTAAGTAGTTTAAATGTATAGCTCAAATGTTACATTCAATTCGCCTATAATAATGGTCTTGTAGATCTGTGCTGCTTTTTCAAGTCTTTATTTAGAAGGCTATAACTTTAAGGACAATAAAAGACAATTTTCTTAAGCACATGACCCAAAAAGCTGGTCATCTATTTGAAATATCAATTTAAATTTATATTGTACTGGCACCACTTGCATTAGTATCTAATATATGCAGTATCATATCATCATCAGTGCCGTGAACACATATCTAACCCTATTTAGCAGCATATTTATTCCATACAGTAATAGCACAAGATTTCAACTTGGTACTATTTATTTCTAGATTCAGGACCGAAGTATAATGAGAGGTGTACAAGCTGCCATTCTCTGGTGCCATCTCAGAATACAAAAGACAATTTTAAAAAAAAAAAAACAAAAAGCAGAAATAAAAGAAAAGCAGGCAAAAGAAACAAACACCCAGATCACTCCCCTGCCTCCACAATGAGTCCTTCCTGCCAGAAAGAGAAAAGCCACAAAATCCAATTCTCTGAGGAAGGGGTCACCGGACCTGAAATGTTAACACTGAACTTTTCTTTACAGACGCTGCCAGACCTGCTGAGCTTTCCCAGCAACTTCTGTTTAAGGCCATCCCTCAACCTGCGAACAGGTGCCCTGAGTCCGTGCACACCACTGCAGGTGGAACACCACTGCCTTCGCCATCACGTGCCCAGGCTCAACCATGTCCTACAGCCGCACCGCTGCTGCTATTCTTTAGTGCCATGTTGCCTCCACCGATGTGGCCACCAAGAGTCTGTGCTGGGCTGATCTTGGCGACGCCGCCGCTGCTGAAGCTGCCGGGTCCTAACAAGGCTCTGGCTCAATGCTGGGCCTGCCATGGTTGAAGCAGCTGGTGCCTCGGTCTGACTTACGTTGCTGCCAGTGCCACCTCCTGGGACCACCATTTCAGCAAAGGAACCTGCCGCCGCTGACCACCCGCCCCCAACGCCGGGAAGAAACCGCTCCCCTCTGCTGCCGACACTCTGGTCAGCAGTTTGTGGCAAATCATTTTCCAGTAGCTTATGATCTGTTTCAATGGCAAAACAGGCATGGTGAAATTATGTAATGCTAAATACTAGAGCTAATGCGCTCCACATTGGAATAATTGACTTGTGCAGCTGGAAGGGTTTTGAACAAAAAGCAATTGGTGTCTCAACTGAAATAAGATTAATGGTCTCAGATTAAAAGCACCTTGAGACAGCAGTGACCAGAAAACGATTGAATTTTACATCAGGTTTGAAAGAGAAGACTGCGTTTAAACTTAAATAAGGGTCACCAGGTCAGTGAGCCACTAAAGCGAACTTTGATCCTAGGATAGGAGATACCAATAAAGCAGAAGCAAAAATTTAAAAATAAATTTCAGAATACTCCAGAATAAGTATATTCCTACTATAAAGAAAATTTCTAAGGTGAGGACCCACCGTTTGTGGTTAACTGAAGTAGTTCAGGAAGCCAAACTTACGACAGGCAGGTCAAATGATTGGTTAAAACATAAAGAATGGCAGAGAATTACTAAAAGGTTAATCAGGGTGGGAGTGTGGAATTCAAAACACAAACAGTTCAGCCATGATCTTGTTTGAACGACGGAGCAGGCTTGAAAGGGTGAAGAGCTTACTTGTGTTCTCAATTTCTATGCCTGCCCATATGCAATGTGCTGCTTTTCTGTTCTCCTTATCAAAATCATCAGCCTTCCATTTTCCCACACTATTTTCCACATATTAAATGGTCGACCACTCTCCTAACCTACTTGTATCCTTTTTGTTGTTGCCTCACAATTTACTTTCCGACCTCTGTGTTTGATCAGCAAGTTTGACCACAATTCCAAATCATAGAATCTCTACAGTGTGGAAACAGGCCCTTTGGCCCAACAAGTCCTCACCGACCCACACAGCATCCCAACCAGACCATCCCCCTGTAACCCATCTAATCTACACATCCCTGAACACTACGGGCAATTTAACATGGCCAATCCACTTAACCTGCACATCTTTGGACTGTGGGAGGAAACCACAGCACCTGGAGGAAACCCACACAGACACGGGGAGAATGTGCAAACTCCACACAGACAGTAACCAGAGGGTGGAATTGAACCCAGGTCCCTGGTGCTATGAGGCTGCAGTGCTAACCACTGAGCCACCCTAATTCCTGTTCCCTTCATCCAAGTCATAAATATAGATTGCAAATTGTTGAAGTCCCAGCCCTGATCGCTGTCCCATCCCTCTAATTACAGTTTGCCAACCTGAAGATGACCCAATCACCCTGATTCTCTGCTTCCTGTTAGCTAATTTTCTATCAATTTTTAATATGTTATCCCAAACACCACGAGCCTATATTTTGGGACGTAACCTTTTTGTGGCACCTTATTGAATGTTTCTTTGGAAATCCAATACACCAAATGTATGGTTCTCTTTTATCCACCATGCTTGGTCCATCCTCAAGAAATTCTCCCTTCTTGCAGTATCCTGGATGGTCAGATGAGGCAATTTCTTCTTTGTGATCATGCCTTGAATCTGTGTACGTTAGTCTTGCTTTTGTGGGGTCATTTGCAACTCATCTTCACTGTGTACAAGTAAGTAATTTCTCTCAATCTGTTGATACATTTGGGTCAGAACTTTGTAAATCCTCTCACTGAACCTCAAATAGGTACAAAGTGGGGAGCAGTTACAACTTGTGGGGAGTTGCTAACCAATGAGCCCAGTGACCAGATCACTGCTTAACTGGGGCGCTGGCCTCATTATTAGCCCCCACACCCTCCGCAGCACCCCACCCCCCCAGGAGTAACCTCAGTTTGTAAATCCCCTCACTGACCAACACTGAACCTCAAACACTTATGGAGTTGTGACCCATCACCTAAGTGTAGTATCCACAGTGGCCATCCCTCCCTGTCCACAAACCTCCTGCATCAGCAGAACTGCCAGGCTGGCTGCTTGGTTTGGGCCTTTCTTATCATTTGTTAAATACCAGTGATGGCTAGACCTGGACCTTCAAGTGGTCAACTGGCCCATAGGAAGGCAGGCTGCCTGATGTTACTTTACTCTTGGTAAAAGGGCAGGAGTAGGCCAGTACATGATGGGCAGCCCAGCCACTGGATTTAATATGCCCCCCCTGCTTTTAAAACTCTTGGTGGGGGAATGGTTTGACAAGCCCATGGCATTACACCACCAACTTCTTGATGTGGCTGGAGTGTAACTAACAATGTACTCCTACCTGTTTTATGCACTATTTCAGCTTCCTGCACCGAAAGTCTCTCCCTCAAGTGCTCAGCTTCATCTTCCATCTTTTGTAGTTTTACATTTGATGTTGTCAATTTCTTCTCTGCCTTTTGAAGTTGTTTTTCCAAATCCTAAAATGCAGTGAAAAGTCTGATCAATGGAACATTGCTTTGAACATAATACCAACATGCAGGAAAGTAACCAGTTGTAGTATAATGACCTTAATTAGTTGTCTATGATTCTATAGATTTTTCCTTCTTTAAATATAGCCAAATAAATATTTATACATTTTTGAACGTTTATGCAATGTCAAGCTGAAGTGTCTTGTACACCAAATGACTATTCGTCCTTCAAACACTATTTATACATACAAACATACAAATTAGGATCAAGATATTGGCATTTAGTTCCTTCAGTTTGTTCCAACATTTAATTGGATCTTGGCTGATTTCTGTTTCATCCTCCACTCCCTTTGATTTCCTTGGCAATCAAGCATCTAGCTCAGCCTTAAAACTTCTAAGGACCCACCATGATTTCCTCTGAGAAAGAGAATCCCACAGATTAACTACCATCTAAAAGAAAAATATTCTCTACAGCACCATCTCAAATGGGATAGCACTTATTTTTAAACTTTGTCTGCTTGTTCTAATCCCTCCCACAATATCCTGTCAGCACCTTCTTTCGAAGTGTGCTGTGTTTCAAAAAGATCACTTCTCATTCTTCTAAACTCTATTGAATACAGCTCCATCTGTCCAACCTTTCTGAATAATGCCATCCATTCTTCCTGGGGCTCCGTTGAGTGAACTTCCTTTGAACCTCTTCTGACGTTATTTTGCCCTTTCTTAAACAAAGAGACCAAAACTGTATACCACAGCCAGCAGCTCCAGAGGAGACAGCAGCACCCAGCCCTGCCGAGTCTTCACCATCCTCCCAGACCTACCCCTTACTGAGGACGAACGGTCAGTCCTCAGCAAAGGGCTCACCTTTGTCCCCCTCCACCCACAGATCAACGAATACCGCTCACGTTTGGACATTGAGCAGTTTTTCCTCCGCCTCCGCCTCCACGCTTACTTCTTCAACCGCGAGTCTAACCCTCCCTCTACTGACCCCTTCTCCCACTTCCAACACACCCCATCCTCCTGGACACCACCCCAAGGCCTCCTACCCTCCCTCGACCTCTTCATCTCCAACTGCCGTCGAGACATCAATTGCCTCAACCTCTCCACCCCTCTCACCCACTCCAACCTCTCCCCCGCAGAACATGCAGCCCTCCGCTCCAATCCCAACCTCACCATAAAACCCGCGGACAAGGGAGGCGCAGTTGTAGTATGGCGCACTGACCTCTACATCGCCGAGGCCGGACGCCAACTCTCCGACACCTCCTCCTACCGCCCTCTTGATCATGACCCCACCCCTGAGCACCAAACCATCATCTCCCAAACCATCCACAACCTCATCACCTCAGGTGACCTCCCACCCACGGCCTCCAACCTCATCATTCCCCAACCCCGCACTGCCCGCTTCTACCTCCTTCCCAAAATCCACAAACCTGAATGCCCTGGTCGACCCATTGTCTCCGCCTGCTCCTGCCCCACCGAACTGATCTCCAACTATCTGGACTCCATTTTCTCCCCCTTGGTCCAGGAACTCCCTACCTATGTCCGTGACACCACCCACGCCCTCCACCTCCTCCAGAACTTTCAATTCCCCGGTCCCCAACACCTCATCTTTACCATGGACGTCCAGTCCCTCTACACCTGCATTCCCCATGCAGATGGCCTAAAGGCCCTCCGCTTCTTCCTGTCCCGCAGGCCCGACCAGTCCCCATCCACTGATACCCTCATCCGCTTAGCCGAACTCGTCCTCACCCTCAACAACTTCTCTTTCAATTCCTCCCACTTCCTACAGACAAAGGGGGTGGCCAAGGGTACCCGCATGGACCCAAGCTACACCTGCCTCTTTGTAGGTTACGTGGAACAATCCCTCTTCCGTACCTACACCAGCCCTAAACCCCACCTCTTCCTCTGTTACATTGATGACTGTATCGGCGCCGCCTCATGCTCCCACGAGGAGCTCGAACAGTTCATCCACTTCACCAACACCTTCCACCCAACCTTAAGTTCACCTGGACCATCTCGAATACCTCTCTCCCTTCCTGGACCTCTCTGTCTCCATATCGGGCAACCACCTAGAAACCGATATTCATTTCAAGCCCACCGACTCCCACAGCTACCTAGAATACTCCTCCTCCCACCCACCTTCCTGCAAAAATGCTATCCCCTATTCCCAATTCCGCCGCATTCCACTCCCGTACATCTCAGTTGTCCTTGTTTTTCAAGGACCGTAACTTCCCCCCCTCAGTGGTCGAGAACGCCCTCAACCGTGTCTCCCACATCTCCCGCAACTCATCCCTCACACCCCATCCACGCAATAAGGACCAAAGAATCCCCCTTGTCCTCACGTACCACCCCACCAACCTCCGGATCCAACGCATCATCCTCCGACACTTCCGCCATCTGCAATCCGACCCCACCACCAAAGACATCTTTCCCTCCCCACCCTTATCTGCTTTCTGGAGGGACCACTCTCTCCATGACTCCCTTGTCCGCTCCACACTCCCCTCCAGCCCCACCACACCCGGTACTTTTCCCTGCAACCGCAGGAAGTGCTACACCTGCCCCCATACCTCCTCCCTCACCCCCATCGCAGGCCCCAAGAAGACTTTCCACATCAAGCAGATGTTCACCTGCACATCTGCAAAGGTGGTATACTGCATCCGCTGTACCCGGTGTGGCTTCCTCTACATTGGGGAAACCAAGCGGAGGCTCGGGGACCGCTTTGCAGAACACCTACGCTCGGTTCGCAATAAACAACTGCACCTCCCAGTCGCGAACCATTTCAACTCCCCCTCCCATTCCTCAGACGACATGTCCATCCTGGGCCTCCTGCAGTGCCACAACGATGCCACCCGAAGGTTGCAGGAACAGCAACTCATATTCCACTTGGGAACCCTGCAGCCCAATGGTATCAATGTGGATTTCACAAGCTTCACAATCTCCCCTCCCCCTACCGCATCCCAAAACCAGTCCAGCTCGTCCCCGCCTCCCTAACCTGTC